TCATATAGGAAATAGCTCAATAAATGGTTGATTCTTTCCTGTTATTTACCAGTTTTCAGAATAATAGGTTGGTTCCTTAACATTCTTCAAAGCAGTCAATGAAGGTTTTTCTTTAATATCACTTTTACCTCATGGATTTAAATACATTTCATGCATTTCAATCCATTGCAGTTATTTCTTTAGTGATTCTTGAATTTTCCCACCTTTGGCAGTGGAAAACTCTTTAAGTTGGCTAGTGAGTATTTATGATACAATTCTAGTGATCCTTGATAGCATCCTTGCTTAATGGTATAACAAGATGTTTCAGATTTTGTACATTTCCTGTCTTAGACCTAGAATCAGACATTCTCCTAAGAGACGCTGGTTTCTTTTATAGGTAAATGGCATTTAGATATGTAGAGTATGCAAGCTAAGGGTACGTTGATAGTAGATTGGTTAATTTAACAGTTTTCCTACATGGGGTCAAAAAAAGCATGGATTATCTGAAAACAGAATCAGTATGCTTGTAATTTATGTATCCCCGTAAGTTAGTAAAAATAAACTTGGTACAAATAAGTCTTCTGTATTCTGCTGAGATCTGATGAAAAGATAACTACTTTAAATTTCCTTAAAAAGGGTTCAGGCTTCGATACTTCTTTGTGATATTAAGTTAGTCATTTCAATACTCTAAATCATACATAACTCTACTTCAAAATAGAGATAATATTGCCTATCACAGCTTTTATGGGAAGCAATATTGAAAGTACTTGATAATAATGGCTAACATTTGCTAGGGATTTTTTATGTGCCAGGTTTTATGCTAAGTATTTTACCTACTTGATTTCATTAAATCTGTATAAAAAGACAAAAGATACCATTATTATCTTCCTTTTATAAAAGAGAATATGGCAGATTGGAGAGGCTAAGTACTTTGTTGTTTCCATAAAGGGAAGTTAGGACAATCTAAAGAAGCTGTGGTCATTAAAGCAGCTCAGGAGGTATATTTCCTTTCCAGAAGTGAGTCAAATTAAACAGAGGATCTAAAACTGGAATATCTGGAGTGTGATTGAACATAATTAGCAATAGTAGCCCAAATTAATTTTTTGAAATGCATTAAATTCATAATCAAAGCTGAATGAATATATTTGGATTCCATTACAACCAGTTATGGTGAAAGAAAATTAGGCAACTCAGATTCTGGATTGGGCATTTTTTTGTTTGTTATTGTTTTTTGCTGGGGGTGTGGGAAGTATTCTTTCTTTTTTTTTTTAAGTTTTTAATTTTAATTCCAGTAGAGTTAAAATACAGTGTTATATTAGTTTCAGGTATACAATATAGTGATCCAACAATTTTATACATTATTCAGTGCCCATCATAATAAGTGTACTCTTTGATGCTTATCACCTATTTCACCCATCCCCTCACCCCCAGATTGGGTTCTTTTACAAACTCTTTGACTTTGCCAAGCGATTTATTCTCTTCAGGCCTGAGGTCTTCACAGTGGAGTTAAACTACAGATTTCAGAGGCTAATGTGCTAGGATTAGAATAGAACACTAATGCTTAAGTATGGCTTTGCAATAAGTTACTATTAATGTGCAGAATTAAAAAAAAAAAAACTTACGACAAACATATTGCTTCCACTGGTTCAGATTTCTGAATCATTGATTGATTCATTAATTCTGGGGGGCACCTGGCTGGCTCACTCGGAAGAACATGTGACTCAGACTCAAGGTCATGAGTTTGAGCCCCACATGAGGTGTAGGGAGTACTTCAATAAATTTAAGAAAAAAACTCAGAATACTTATTGGACATATACTATGTGGTAGGCACTGTAGCAAGTAGTGTTCTAGCAAATACTGAACACAATGAAGTTCTCATTTTTCTAGTTTACATTCTAGTAAGGGAAGAAAGAAAGAGACAACTATGTCATATACACTGTGTCTGATGGTGATAAATGCTACCAACCAAAAAATAAAAGGAAGTTAATGTGAAGAGAAGATCCAGCCCTAGTGCCTTCTTTGCTCTTCCTTGAATACACCACGCCTGCTATCAAATGTGTACCAGCTGATTCATTTGCCTGAAATACTGTTCCCCCAAATATCCTCATAGCTAACTCTCTCTCATTCACACAGCATCTGCTCAGTGAGGCTCAATACATGAAAAATCCCATCCTTCCCCACTCTGCTCTCTCTTTTATTCCCCATAGATTTCATATCTTTTTTTTTTTTTAATTTTTTTTTCAACGTTTATTTATTTTTGGGACAGAGAGAGACAGAGCATGAACGGGGGAGGGGCAGAGAGAGAGGGAGACACAGAATCGGAAACAGGCTCCAGGCTCTGAGCCATCAGCCCAGAGCCCGACGCGGGGCTCGAACTCACGGACCGCGAGATCGTGACCTGGCTGAAGTCCGACGCTTAACTGACTGCGCCACCCAGGCGCCCCTAGATTTCATATCTAATATAAATTTCCTAATGGGGCACACCCGGGTGGCTGAGTCGGCAAGGACCCAAGTCTTGATTTCAGCTCAAGTCATGATCTCACAGTTCATGAGTTCAAGCCCACAACGGGCTCTGTGCTGACAGCATGGAGCCGGCTTGGGATTCTCTCTCCACCCCCACCACCCCCCAACACTTTCTCTCTCTCAAAAAAAAAAAAAAATTAAAAACTTAAAAAATATTTTAAATTGCTAATTGGTATGTTTAATGTCCATCTAGATGTAAGTTCTAAGAAGACAAAGTTCTTTGTTTTGTTCAAGGATATGTTTCAATAGTACCTGATAAGTAATGCTTAATAAATTGATTAATGTGAAAACTGAATATTAGGTGAATGAATGAATTAGGAGGGTAATCTGGAAAATATTCTCTGATTAGGTGGCTAAGTAGTAAAAGCTTGACATTTAAAACTTAAAACTTAAGGCAAATTGTTGATTAAATTTTTCCACATTCAGTTGACAGACTATTCTGTGCCTTTAAAGATGATACTCAAATAATATCGGTGAGGATTATGAAATAGCATGAAAACTACTTACAACATGGTTAAGTGAAAAGCACAGGATGTAAAATTATTCATATGTCATTATTACAATCGTGTAAAAAAAGTCTTTAGAAGAAATGCTAAAAAGAAATATACCAAAAGTTGCCAATATATGTTACAGTGATTATTGGTGACCTCCCTTATTTTTTCTATTTTCCAAATTTTCTATTATGTGATTATATCAACTTTGATATGGAAAAAATCTTAAGTTTTAAAAAGTTAATCTGTGTGGGGCGCCTGGGTGGCTTAGTCGGTTAAGCGACCGACTTCAGCTCAGGTCATGATCTCATGGTTCATGAGTTCGAGCCCCGTGTCAGGCTCTGTGCTGACAACTCAGAGCCTGGAGCCTGCTTTGGATTCTGTGTCTCCGTCTTTCTCTGCCCCTCCCCCGCTCACGTTCGGTCTCTCTCTCCTTCAAAAATGAATAAACATTTTAAAAAAACTAAAAAAAGAAGTTAATCTGTGCAATGATATTTTTAATTCGTAGTATTATAAAAGGTTTTTATGTTGTTTTGTTTGTATTTTACATTTAGAAATTCGACCCTAACCATGTCGGTAACTTTGACAAGCTGGACCTGGAATTCAAACAGCACACCTGGGCTGCAAATGTTTCTAGAAAGGGAGAAGAAGTGGAGCAGGAGGCTAAATCAATTCTCATGCCTCCAAAATAGCATCATACCTATCTTGGTTTTACCTTTGGAGGAGATTTTCTCCAGGGGAAGGAAATCCTATCAATTGTACATGCCTCTCAAGAGAACACAGTGCATAAGTGGTTATAAACAGAACGTAACATCAGAAAGAGGAAACTACCCAAGACCCTGTTTTATCATGAGTGTTTCCATTACTTTGGTGATCAAGGGAGATACTTGAAGATTAGCAACATCTATTAAGAGCCAAAGTATGCATGGGACATGCTATTCCATTTACTCTGCAGAATAATTCACTGAGGTGAGAATTATGTTATCAAATGTCAGCGAGAAAATGGGAAATATAAATAACTTGCCCAGAGTCACACGTCCAGATGGGTAATGAAACCACGATCCAAATTAAGTTCGAATTGACCTTATAATCACACTGCTCAAAACTTATATATGGGGTCAAAATATCAAATATTTATTGGTAGGACCCCTTCCCAATAGCACTTCTAGGTCCCTTAACGGTTTATTAAATATTTCTTTTAGTGATGACTTTTGCTCGCAAAGACACAAACCACCTTTTTATTAGCAAAACATCAATTTCTGGATCTAGAGCAATGTCAGCCTAGGCAAGTGTGGATACTATTCTGAAGCCTTTCACAGTATTTACATTGCCAGGGTCTGTAAGAGAAGGACTCATAGTGGGTGAGAGAAGCACCATATTAGAAGAGACGGCTTTGTAATGAATTGGGAACAGCTCCCCTTGCCTCAATCTCTGCACCCCTATGAGAAGTCACACCAGGACCTGGTTCTGTGCTCAATGAGCTCAGGTGGGGAAGAGAAGCCCAGTGTGAACGTAAGGCTGGAACAGACACTCTGCATTTGGTCCTCTTCAGTAGACTGAGTGACCAGTTCATATCCTGCAGTGTCCTCTTCTGTTGAATCAGATAATTAGTAATCTGTCCTTAATAAATTGCTAGCCAGAGGGGCGCCTGGGTGGCTCAGTCCATTGAGCGTCCGACTTTGGCTCAGGTCATGAACTCACGTTTCATGAGTTCGAGCCCCGCATTGGGCTCTGTGCTGACAGCTTGGAGCCTGGAGCCTGCTTTGGATTCTGTGTCTCCCTCTCTTTGTGCCCCTCCCCTGCTCACACTCTGTCTCTCTTTCTCAAAAATAAAGATTAAAAAAAATTTTTTTAAATAAATTGCTAGCCAGAAAAAACAGTCTTTGAAACCAATAATTAAATATATGTGTGTACACACACACACACACACACACACACACACACACACGTTCATATAAAGACTAAAATATACTAGCTCCGGTTTAAACACAACTTAAACATTCCAGAAATGAAGAAGAGTGCACTGATTTTATTCCTGGATCTGGTTTCTCAGCCAAATCGGAGTCAAATAAAGCAGTATGTTCCTGTTTATGTTAAGTGACATACATAATGTCTACTTATGATACTTCTCAATGGATTTCATAAGAGAAAAAAAACTGTCCTAAGTTTCCTCTCTTCTCTAAGTGATTACAGGCCATACAATTCCCCTTAAACTCAATTATCTCACAACCAACTGCTTTGATGACCTGCTAAAACCAGCAGGCATAGTGTTATCAGTGAGCCAGAAAAAGAGAACACCCCCGAGCAGCCATCCAGCGTCTTCGTTTCTCTGCAGTCAGCTCCCTCGTATCCCTGATAACAGTGACAGGAAAATTTCTCCTCCATCACTTCCAGGTCTGTATCAGATGCTTTTCCTTTCACGGTAAATTCTCCATCCTCGGAGGCTTCTATGTGGTAATTTGCAGGGTTCAAGTGAAGGTAATCCGGAGAGTTCCACATCCTCCTTACGCATCTCCCGTTACCCTGGCAGAGGTGAAGGCTGCATACCTCAGCAGCTCTGGTCACGTTGACTACGTAGCTCCCTAAGTCAGAGCTCACATACTGCTTCACCTTTGTACAGTTACCCTAGAAATGTAGAAACAAACGGGTTTAGTGTTCTTTCTGGCACCAGGAGGGTTAGAACATCTGTGCCCACGGGGCAGTTCTTTGGACTCGAGTGACACCTAACAAACATCTTGGCGCCAGTGGTTGATGTCTTAGGCTCAGGTGCTGTAACACAGGGGATCTAGATCAGAAAAGATGAAAGGTCCAAGGGGCAGGAGATGGAACATTTGTTACACTAGGGGCTAAGCAACTGAACTTGCAAATGGGCCCCAGGGTCAGCATATAATGACCTTGCCTGCTTCCAGTTTACGTCTTCTTTTTCTCCCTCTAGCTCCCAAGTTAATGCATGTGAAAAAAAAGAACAAACCTAAATTAGAAATCATGCCACAGCTGCTGTCCTCTGGCCACCTTTTGGGTGTTGTGGTACCTTTCATGGTTGTGTAGGAACCTGAATCCTCATATTCTACCGATTTATTGTCAACCTGTAGCTTCCTGGATTTTCCTGTTAATCATGCTCAAATATCAACTGCCCTGGGTTCTAGACTTCTAGAATTTGTGTATACAATTCAAACACAAGAAAGCTTAGAAGGATGACTAGATCATTTTTTTGTGGTTCCATTATGTGTTCTAAACAGAGACCACCTGGTTTATGCACTTCCTACATTAAACTTCCTGATGAAGTGCTTCTCGTGAGTCACATGGGCTGGAGGAGAACTATCACACCTGGAGAGTCAGGAATTCCTTCTCCCCATTTCTACCTAATTCTCCTATTGGACAGAGGAGACCTAACCTTATATTATCACAGCTTCATGAAAGATATCTAGGCAGCAACAAGCTGAGCCTTTGAAATTCTAAGAATAATATCAGAGCATCATGAACTTGCAAAAAATTCAATTTAACAAAAGTTTTGAGGATACCAGTATTACAATTCCAGGAAAATGTATCACACTATAGAGATATAAACAAACAACATCTGGAGATACAGAAGAGATTGTGACTAATGTGAATTGGGGAAAACTAGGAAGACTTCTTCGAGTAAGTAATATGTGAACTGGGAGAAATTTGAAGAGACATATAAATCTCATTTTAAATGCTCTTAATTTTTAGCTAATTTCCCCATAGAGGACAAATACATTCAATGTGGAGATTAAAAAGATACCATCTGTTCCTTCTTCTCAAAATAGGATATAGCACATTTAATAGTAGTTAAATGGAAGGGCTTCGGAGTCAAACTCTGGTTAATGCCAGCTTCACCATTAACTAGCCTAACTAGATGTTACTCTAGTTGGATTTCCTCTCTTGTGTCTTCCTCTATAAATGAGGATGGTAGGTCGTACCTCATAAGGGTTATTATGACCAGTAAGTAACTAAGTCCAAAACAAAGAGCATTTAGCACAATCGTAGCCTATAATGAATGGTCAAAAAATGTCAGTATTCTGATGACTATCTTAACAAATGTTAATAATATTATTGAGCACCTTCTATGTGTTGGGCACCGATTTGGACTTTAATTCTAAAGCTGGTTTATTGTGGGAGCCAGGAGAGTTCCAACTGGAGTTAGCTCTAGAAGAAAAGAACAAATACTTTAAATAATATTAACTATGCCTTCGAGGTACTGCCTTACCTCAGATGAAGTTAAGTTCATGTCTCCCCAGATAACAATGCCCGCAGCTCCCAAGGCAGCACTTTCTCCGATAGTACTGATTAGATCTTGCTAGATTGAAGAGAGTAGAGTTTATTATTCATTTGGATATAAAACAGCATGCCAGGGATTAGGGTTAGAGGCTGAGTTCATTATAATAGGATGATTTTCCACTCTTTTTAAGACTTTATTTTTAAGTAATTTCTACACCCGTGGGGCTCGAATTCACAACCCTGAGATCAAGGGTTGCACACTTCACCAACTGAGCCAGCCAAGCATCCTTATTCTCCACTTTCTTAGAGTAACACACATATTGAATGAACCAAGGCTCAAAAATTACACTCCATGATCATATGGAAAAACATTAAATATTTTTGAAGAAGATCTTGTATTTTGCCAAACAAGATATTATTTTCATGACAATCAGCCTGTAAATAGCCACCAGAAGCTGTTTAATCGAAGTCATCTAGGGGCACATGCACACAAACCAGCCTTATGTACGTGACCCAGAGTGTTACAAAAGTGTTTGCTTCTCTAAATGTGAAGAATACCTCACTTTCCTTTTGGCTAAATTCTCTTTCCAGTGTGCAACGCGCCCCCCCCCCCTTCCTGAGAACTTCCCCCCTGCAGTGACTCAGAGGGGTTTTGTGTCACTTGGATCCCAAGGCCAGGCAAAGTAACATAGTGTTAAGGACCTGCAGGCTCTGATTTGGTCCAGCCCTTATATTTGGTCTCGGAAATTATTTGTGTATCATTTCAAAGTATCTGATTTAATGGGCCTTATTTGTGATTCATCTAGTCGTGGTAAAGTTGCCAGCCTTTTTCTCAATATGGTTAAGGTAAACAAAAATAGAATCTCACCAGGGGTAGAGGTATTTGGGTTTTGTAGTCCTAAAAGATTATTGTTTTAGTGTTTAAAGATTAACATGAAGCAAGGCCATTTCAGAAGGCAATTAGGATTTAAAGGTATGAAGTTGTGTTACGGGAACTGGTCTGGATCACCCGGCAGAAGAGCCAAGCGGCACTCAGAGATCTTGGAAGGCAGGAGGAGGTTTATTTTACACTGGTGGGCTCAGAGGAGATCATTCTCCAGAAGTTTGAGCCCAGAGCATCAACAGAGGGGACAATTTACCATGTTACTTCCGCATTCCTCATTAGTAGTAATTTGGTGCCTGAGGCAAACAGGGTGGGAACAAGAACCTGGAAGAGAAGTCTTCAGGCAGGGACTGAAATTTCCTCATCAGTCCTGTTGGCCATCATATAACAGATTTTCCCCTAACAGTTGTTTTTCTCATTTAAGTTCCTATGGTAGGCTTCCTAAGTAAAGTTACTAAATTATAGTATACTCTCCCACCGTTTAAGCTACTAAGCATTCAGGGGTGCCTGGGTGGCTCTGTCAGTTAGGCATCCAACTCTTGATTTTGGCGTGGGTCATGATCTCACAGTTCGTGAGTTCAAGCCCCGTGTGGTCGAGCTCTGTGCTGAGAGTGCAGACCCTGTCATTCTCTGTCTCTGTCTCAAAATAAATAAACAAACTTTAAAAAACAAAAAAAGATACTAAGCATTCACCTTTTACTCCAAGGATGAATTTCCACCAATTATATGCTGGAAAATGTAACTGGATGATTTGGTGGGGAATAAAACCAGAACTTTATAATTGAATTTTACCTGGGGCATTTTATATTAATATCGACACTTGGGAGAGAAATCTTATCTGACACTTTTACAGTCCACTCAAATTAAAGTCTTTACAATCTCATTTTTTTAAGTTTTTTTTTTCTGGAAATCTTCAAAAAAGGAAGAGATTTTGGTTTGAACTAATTTCTCTTTCAGGCTCACGTCTGTTTCCATTTCTGTGACCACAGTGTCTGCTGAATAGGTCAGGCCTGACATAACAAGAAAGGAAGGAGTTTCATGAGGCTCTAATGAGTTAGCGGAAGTGAAATGGTTTTGAAGATTATCGATGATATGATGACTATGGGACAGAGCAGGAGCCAGCCATGTGGTGCCCAGAAGGAGTATTCTACTGGGTCCATGTCCATTGCCTCCTTTGGCAAAGATATAATGGAGTAGGACTCCTCCCTCCACTCACTTTGAATGCAGTGAAGCCATATTCACACGATGTAATCAGAGGGGCCAAAATCTCCCAATGGCCTTCCATGAATTCCTGTTACATGTATGTTACACCCTTTCCAGGTGTCTTAGTTCTTGACTCTTTGGTTTTTTTCAGTCTTTGTTCTCTTTGCTTTTAAGTTTTGGAGGTTTCTATTGAGATATCCTTTGGCTCAGAGAGTCTTTCCCCAGCCATGTGCAGGCTACTAAATAAACTCGTCAAAGACATTCTTCATTTCTATTACAGTGTTTTTGATCTCTAGCATTTCTTTTTGATTCTTCCTTAGAATTTCCATCTCTGTGCTTACATTGCCCACCTTTTTTTGCATGCTCTCTACCTTATCCATTAGAGCCCTTTGCATATTCATTACAGTTGATTTAAGTTTCCAGTCTGATAATTCCAACATCCCTGCCATAGCTGAGTCTGGTTCTGATGCTTGCTCTGTCTCTTCGAATTCTGTTTTTGCCTTTTAGAATGTCTTGTAGCTTTTTTTTTTTTTTTTTTTTTGATGGCTAGACATGATTTAATCTTTTCTTGATAGGCAAATAGCTCATAAAAGGAACTGCTACAAATAGGCACTTAGTAATGTGCTAGTAAGATGTAGGGGGAATGGAAGGGTTCTATAGTCCTATGATTAAGTCTCAGTCTTTTAGTGAGCCTTTGCCTCTGGACTGTGAAACTCACAAGCTGATCAGTTATGTTTCCCCCTTCTCAGGTAGGATGGGGTTAGAGCAGGGCATTTACCTTCTCCCTAGTGGAAGACTAGAGCCAACTAGAGTTGAGTATTTCCTTTCCCCAAGTTCACTTAGTCTCTGGTAAGTCCCCAGGGGGTTTGGCTCTGGTTAAAATAGCTTCTCCTGAGGGCAGACCTTGTTAACAAGAATAAAAGGCTCTGGGGCAGCTGGGTGGCTCAGTTGGTTAAGCATCCATCTCTTGATTTCAGCTCAGGTGATGGTCTCACAGTTCCTGAGATCAAGCCCCATGTCAGCAAGGAGCCTACTTCGGATTCTCTCTCTGCCTGTCCCCTGCTCTCTGTCTCCCTCAAAATAAATTTTAAAAAACTTACAGCAACAACAAGAAAGAACAAAAGGCTCTCAAGTATCCAAAATGGTTCTTTTCCTCCTCCTCCCTACCAGATGCATGAGATTTCACTGTGAGTACCTGATAAGCTTTTGGAGGTGAAAGGAACAATCCAAATGACAGCCCTGCCTTAGTTTAAAGCTAGGTTCTCTTTTCTGCTTATTATGGATCTTTGATAAGAAATACAATTGCTGAGAAGTCTGTTTTGCTTGCTGTTTGCTACGAGCATTGTGAAGCCTTTCCTGAATGTAACCCGCTATGTAGTAGAATGGGTTGTAAACCTTCCTAAATGTAGTCTGATAGGTAATGGAATGAGTAATTGTACAAAAACTAACCGGCATTTCTCGCTTCTGTAAACCTGCTTGCTTAACACATTCCTCCCCTACCTTCCCCCTTCCCCCTTTTTCCTCCCGCCACAAGTAACGGACAAAGCCTTCCCGCCAAAGGACAGACAAAGGACGCCCAATCAGAGAACAACAAATGTCCTTACTTTAAAATCAACCAATCAGGCCCCTCATAATTTGAAACCTCCCCTGTGCTATTTGTCTCTGTCTATAAAAACGCTGTACCAACCCTGATCGAGGCCTCTTGCGTCACCTGCGATGAGTGCGCAGGGGACCAGGTTCGAACCTGCAATAAACGACCCTTGCCACTTGGCTTTGACTCACGACTCTGGTGGACTTTTGTGGGAGGTTTCGGAACTTCGGGCATTACAGAGGTAGAACTCACAAAAGTATATCCCCCCTACCCATGACTGAGTCCCCTGGACTTCACACTGAGCCTCCAGCAATTCGTCAATTATAGTTCTGAAAGGGCGGGCCTACGCGGCCTACTCCATCTTGTTCTGTGTCCTTCACCTTAACCACACCTCCTCCCCTTGAGTAACCCCCCCCCCCACCTGCCTAACAGGACTCGGACCCTTCCCCAGCCAATCGGCTGAGGCCACAGCCATTACCTCACCAACTGCCCCTAGGCCCCAATAAAACCTTTGTCCTTTTGAAACTCGCTCTCTCTCCTTGGTATCTCACCGCTGCGTCCGTGCAGGTAGGGGATTGAGCTCGAGCTAGCTCGAATAAAGGCTCTTTTGCTTTTACATCAGACTCGACTCCCTGGTGGTCTTTGGGGATCACGAATCTCTGGGCATAACAGTTCAGGTTTCCCAACTCTGGCAGTGGTCCCCACAGAGGTTTCTGACCTAATAAGCTGTGATTCTCTATACTCACCTATCTGCCTAACTTTGAGGGCAGCAATTGGCTCTGTGTCCTCACTTCTCTTTGAATCTAAGAGGGGTTGATTTTTCAGTTTGTTTGCTTTTTACTTTTTAGGATGGAGTGGCAACGACCAAGCTTCTTACCATGCTGAGCTGGAAACCCCAACTCTCCCATGAATTCCTTTGGGTTAAAGCATTGTTATCAGAGGAAAGAGGGAGACGCAGCATTTACATTTCATATTGATAGTTATTGATCCATACTCAGCAAGTAAGGAAGCTGCAGGTGTTTGTGGTGAAACCCACACCTTCCCAAGTTGATTATCAGTTGGGAATGTCAGTTTCTTCCCAATGTATCCTTTAGCATCATTATCAGAGTAGAGTTTATTGGAAGGGATTCAAAATGGCAAGTCTTCATGCACATGTTGACTGGAGATGAGGAGTCAATGGCAGGTATTAATGCAAATTTGTCTACCAAATTAGCCCACTGTCACCTAGCTGAGAGCAGGGTGTTGAATGAATCACAGAGCAGCTATGTTTGGGGACCAAAAGAGCAAGGGCACTTTTCAGTGAGGGAAGTCACAGGTAAGATGCCTCTGGGAATAGACAGGGAGCACATGAGAGCATGAGCCACATGAGGGATGTCATACAAAAGAAGAAATAAGACAATAGTGCATGATGTAACAGCAACAAATCTTCCAGGCCAGGTCCTAGTGTTTTCTCCATACTCGGGTTTCATTGCCTGATGCTCAGCACAGTGCATGTAAGGAAGGTGCCCACTGTGGGGAAGTGGAACATCACTAATGAGCTTCCCTTGGTGCACCAGCAGAGGGAAGGTTAATTAATTTTAGAGAAAAAAATCTTTAAATCTATTAGTCAAGAAAACTCCTTTCATTATTTTTTAAAACATAGCATCAAGTTATATTTAGGTTGTGTAGATGTAAGTAGCATAGACAATCTTTGATGTGAAATAAGGTGTTAACTGCCCCTATGTCATCCCATCAAGCAATGGCCGCTGACTGAGATTCCATTCCTACATATTCCCTTTCCGAGTTTTAGGCTTCAGTACCTGTTCAAAAGTGACAGCTATACCACATATATTTTTGTAGTGCCTCACATTTTCATATACAATGTTATCATTTGATTTTCATAATACTCCTGATAGGTAGGTAGGGCAGGTAATACTGTCCCATTTTATAGATTAAAACAATGAGGCACTGAGGTCTGACAGCTTAAGAAATTTGCTACTTATTGATAAATTGTTTTTCTAATCCTAACTATAGTAAAACCTTGGTTTGCAAGCATAATTCTTTCCAGAAACATGCTTGTAATCCAAAGCACTTGTATATCAAACCCTCCAGAGAGACGAAGGTTATTGTGTAGGACGACTTGCATCATCACTAATGGATGTTGACTATAGTTTAGTATTAATAAATTCTTGTCATATGTTCTATTTAATGTAACTGGAAATAAGGCAGCAGAGGAAATGGTTTCTATCTGCAGGTAGCCTGACCTAGAATGAAGCAAAGCATTCCTAAGCTTACTCTTGAACGGAAAAGCAAAGAACTGTCCATAGGTACATTGAACTGACAAAAAATACACCAGTGCCAGTTGTGGGCACCTTCCAACGTTCTGAAAAATCACTGATTTCTGCCAAACAAGGCAGCCTGAGACCGACCATCAGAGCATGGGAAATGACTGCCCGCATCCCTGCAGAGAGAGAGAGACTGAGAGAGAGAGAGAGACCCATTGGCTCACTTGTGATCATATGAAGTTGGGCATCATGTACTACTCGTATGGCAAGACATCACTCATTTATCAAGTTAAAATTTATTAGAAAAGTTTGCTTGTCTTGTGTAACACTCACAGAACAAGTTACCTACAATCCAAGGTTTTACTGTATATGTGTGTGTACACATGTACAAACACACACATACACACACACACTCTAAAGTGCGGATATCTAGGTGCCTGGCTGGTTCAGTCAGTGGAGCATACAACTCTTGATCTCAGGGTTTTAAGTTCGAGCCCTACAGTGGGTGTAAAGATTACTTAAAACTAAAATATCTTTGGGGTGCCTGGGTGGCTTGGTCCGTTAAGCGTCTGACTTCAGCTCAGGTCATAATCTCATGGTTCATGGTTTTGAGCCCCACATCAGGCTCTCTGTTGTCAGCACGAAGCCCACTTTGGGTCCTCTGCCCTCTCTCTCTCTCTGCCCCTTCCCCACTCATTCTCTCTTGCGCGCTCTCTCAAAAATAAATAAATAATCTTAAAAAGAATACAGTGCAGATATCTTTGAGAGGATTGGACATGGAAGCCATTATTAGTCACTTATGATTTGGTATAAATGCATACCAGGTTTTTAAAAATTTGTGGGCAGAATTTTTATGGAGAATACAGTAAAATGGTGGGTAAATTGAGGGTTTAAAACATTTGGAAATCCCTTGCCATTCCGAAAGTTTTCAGAATGATACAGAATGAGTCCTGGGACTGCCAAAGAGAACTGTTGCTAGATGAGACCCTAACTGTTGTTCCTTCTTTACTTAGAACAAGTATTTCTGAGGCTGTGGCTACTCAAGGAAACTTATCTAGGTTTACAGACTGTGCAGAATGTACCAATAGTCTAAACTAATCTTTTGAAATGAACACTTCGTCCCTTAAAGTTTGTTGTTTCTTCCAAAAGTGAATTTATTATCACTAAAGACAGAAACTTGTTTGAGCCAAATATAGAAAAGGAAACGAAGTTTCATAGAAGAAAGTAGTATTTAAGCTCCAGGGTCAAGACTATTTTGTAAAGATCTAAATAACTTTGTAAACCTACCAGGCAGTACTGATTTCCTATCATTCTTGATCATTTGTTGCTGACTTTTCTGGGAAGTACAAGTATCAGTTCACAACAGAGACTTTTTTTCCCTTACTTGTCTCATTAATGGCATCCAAGGCATAGCATCTACCAAATCCTGATACATCGCGTCTTTTCCTCCTCTGAGGATTAAGCTGTACTCGCTAAAGGCACCATACATGCCTAGTGGTCATGCTAAAGCCCTCACCTGGGTATGTCCTGAGCCTCCTCCTTTAGATGTCTCACACTCAGAACATCTTTATATCTTAATACACGCTGGTGAATTGAAACTTGTAATGGTGGGAAAGGAAGAAGTGTGGTAAACTCATAGTACCCAGTAATATCTTAAAATACCCATGTGAAAGCCTGAACAAGTCTCCAGTTTTCTTATCATAGAAAGTTTACACATAATTGCCCAAGTCCAACCATTAGAGTGGCATCCACTTTTAGATTTTTATCTCTAGAAGTTTCCATTTGAGTGACTACAGTAGCAAAGAGAGAAAAAGGGAGAGAAATTGGACTGAAAATTCGTCTATTTTAAAAGTTACTCTTATGGTTTGTGGGTAATGATGAGGTTTTTGGGGGGTGACAGTGGGGTTCGTGGGGTCCGGAGCCGACGACCAAGAAAGAATTATTGAAGATGTCTTTGGTACTGAAAGGTGTTTTATTAAAGCACAGGGACCGGACCCACGGGCAGAAAGAGTTGCTGCCCCTGGGCCATGAGGAGAGACTGGTTATATACTATGGAGTTGGGGGTGGGGGGAAGTCCTGGGGAAGTTTCCAGTGAGATTTTCATATGCTAAAGAAGATTCCCAAGATACTGGAGGCCTAGCTATTGTCAAGCTAAGGTTGTTTTTCCCTCTAGGAAAGCATTAGCATTAAGACAGCAGGGAGTTCCTGGAGAAAGTTTTACTCTGCCAGCCTCAAGTATTTGTCAATGGGCGGCAGATTATAAGGAAATTTAGTTCTATCTGCCATTTCCTCCTGCCTGTGTTTCCCACATCACTATGGAGGGGTGATGGAGACTTAGGTCCTGCAGACTATGAGCTCTATCAGTTAACCCTTTGTTTTCCCCCCTTTCCTTTGTTCTTGGGCAGCCAGGAGTGCCTGAGGCCTACCCCCCCCCCCCCCCCCCCGGGGGGGCCCCGCCCCCCCCGGCGGGCACTAAATCTGTAGAGCCACCTATTTTTGGAGATTCACCCTTAAGCCTCTTGAAAAAACTTTTTTTAGTTTAAAAAAATTATTAATTATGGAAACAGACACATATAAAATTTATTACCCAAACCATTTCTAAGGGTACAATTCAGTAGTGTTATATATATTCGCATTGTTGTGCCTCACACCTTTTATGAAAACTGGTATTATACATGAAAAGAAAAACTTTTTTTTTTCTCTTGACATTAGATGGTGAGGCCAGAAGCAAGAATGCTTCCAATTACACTTCCACGTGTGTGAGCAAAGTATTCCATTTTATTTTTTTAACGTTTATTCATTTTTTGAGAGACAAGAGTATGCGTGGGGGAAGGGGCAGAGAGAGCCGGAGACAGAGAATCTGAAGCAGGTTCCAGGCTCTGAGCTGTCAGCACAGAGCCCCACGCGGGGCTCGAACTCACGAACTGCAAGATCATGACCTGAGCCGAAGTTGGACACTCAGCCGACTGAGCCACCCAGGCACCCCTATTTATTTTTGAGAGAGAGAGAGAGAGAGAGAGAGTGTGTGAGTGGGGGGAGGGGCAGAGAGAGAGTCGGAGACATAGAGAATCTGAAGCAGGCTCCAGGCTCCAAGATGTCAGCACAGAGCCTGAAGCTGGGCTCAAACTCACAAACCGGGAGATCATGACCTGAGCCAAAGTCGGACACTTAACCAACTGAGCCACCCAGGCACCCCAAATTATTCCATTTTAAAACATCCTCTCTGATTTCCCAGCCTGTTTGCCACCAGCCGTTTCAATAAAGGCCAATAGCGAGGGATGGTCATCAAAGCTGGGGAGGAGGCAATAATAGTTGTTCTCACCTTTAAACCTTCCCTCCATACTGTGTTCCTTAAAAGAATAATTCTAAATAAGATCATTAAAATTCAGTTTGCATAAGTAAAGAGTCTAAGAGGATGGCTAGTCAAAGAAAGAATTAGGCTCCTTTCTAAAAGACCCCTAATTGGGAATTCTTCAATGAACATAATTAACAAAAGAAATGTTTCTTTTAGAGTTAGGGAGGAAATCCCCCCCATCCTCAGCAAAGGGTGTCTTACCTTAGAAAGAAAAAATAAAGGTTCCTCCCTGTAGCCTAGCCTTGTGTAAACGAACACAGGCAGAGCATAATCGTGGGATGTCATGGTGGAGATCCTCATGGATTCGTGCACCCGAAATTGCGAGAAGCGCAAAATGTTTTCGTTGTCTCCAAGAGATTTTCTGACACCAATAGAAGGATACAAAGCAGCACTGCTATTCCAGAGCCAAGAGAGCTCATTGTTTCTCAACACTTCCTCTTCCGGGCATGACCCAGTATAATTCGGGGCATAAACATTATAATTGTGGCAATCAGGATATAAATAATAACCCCATAGGCCCTTGGGTCTACTCTTCATTCCCAATTCGATGGTTTCCTTCATGAAAGCTTTTGCACTTTCTTCAAATGTTGCTTTGGCTAAATATTCAATATCAGTAGTTGATACATTCTCTTGCATATCAGAAATCAGCTTTCTTGACTTCTGTCTGTAGACGTCTTTTGTGTTCCAGTTACGGGCCCACTGGGGTCGCCAATATTCCCAGTCGATAACAGCAAGTCCACTGAAATCTTCAGCAGGGATGTAATAATTAATATCTTGGTCAGCTTTCTCTAGATGTACTTGCAAACTTATGTTCTGAGGGAGACCCCCATTAATGGGAACCCCCTGTGATGTATACCATGGATAGTATCCCAATCTGTTGACGTAAAATATGGTGACATTTTGTCCCCTGGCCTTGGCCAGTGGGCTTCCAATCACCTGAAACATTTTCAAATTTAGTCTTATATTGTATTTTTTCAAACACTGATCCGTTGGAGCATTCCAAGCAGCTATAAAAGGTTTCCTTTGATAAATTGGAAGTCGGGCAGGTTTTAGAGAAGAGATAGACTTCAGAATAAAGAATATGAGCAGCCATGATGTGAGATGTATTGGTTGAACAACACAAAACCTTAATTGTCCTTCAGATAATACTTTCATGATAAGATAAAACCTTATCTTCCGCCTTAAGGTACTGTAGAAGACCTGTAGGGAGAAGTAATTTTCTATTAGCGATAATTTTGAGGAAAAAGACTCAAATACTGGGTGGATATTATTAGATTTTAAAGAGGACTATACATAAACTGAGATACAGAAGCAAGTGTAGTGACTGAGTTTCCATTCAGGGGCAAGCAATGCAATTCAATAAAAATTCATGGAACTTCAGACCCTATGCCCAGAATACAAAGTGAATAAGATGTGGTTATTCACTTGTGGTTGCTCTTGAAAAAGCTTATGATCAAATAAAAATGTAAAATTATACCCATTATCATTTTTGAAAAGTCATCAAATCCTAGGCACTAAGCTTAAGTACTTTATAAAATATTCATCTCATTTAATCTTATAATAACTTTGTATTATCTCACTAAGCCAAAAATGTTGAGATGCTTCCCCAGCCTTCCTTGCAGCTAGGGTGCTGATATGCAATCGCAGTCAGGATCCATCCTACTCTGGACTTTGAATTGAGATCTTGGGAATCAAAGAGCCTGAAAGGTGGTGGGGCCAGAAATTCCGGCGTCCATAAATGGCAGGGCCTCTCAGGGGCATTCAGAACCTGATATCCATGGTGTTGGTGTTAAGTGGCAGGATTGTCCTTATGGGACAGCACTTCTCTGCTCAAGTCAGTGAGGTTTTGCTTTGGTTCGTTACAACCAGGAAGTCTGGCTGACGGAGGTTTTTTCCATGGCATCTGTGGCTTTTGAGTATTTCCGTCCGCAAAGCGGTGTGCTGCATATTGTATGTAATTATCATTTTTAGCCGCTAGATGTCACCAGCTAAACCGTATAGCATTTGTGAGACCTAGGACACTGAGGCAAGCCAAAATTTAAAATAATTTATGAAAAATAGAAAACCTGAACAGACCAGTTACTAAAATAATGTGTAAAACTTTATTCAAAGACATTTAAGAAGTGCTAAGTAAATGGATATAAACAAAATATCAGTTTGGGGGCACCTAGGTATCTCAGTCAGTTGGGCTACCTGACTTTTGGCTCAGGGCAAGATCTCGCAGTTGGTGGGTTCGAGCCTCTCATCAGGATCCCTGTTGTCAGTGCAAAGCCCACTTCAGATCCCCTGACCCTCTCTTTCCCTGCACCTCCCCCACTCACACTGTCTCTCTCAAAAATAAAAAATAAACATTAAAATATATGTGTACATATATGTATATATATATATGTTTTTAAGAATTATGGAGGTATTTTCTTCATCTGTGAATTGAATAAATATGTGTTCCTCCATAACACGAAGATGGATAAGATTGCTTATCTTAGTAACTTGAAATATGTCACACTGAAGGTATAAATTATTATTTGAAGAGAACAGTATTTTCGAGAGGATATAATTTTATGCATACAACAAGAATCGTGGTCCTTTAAAATGTCCCTTTTCTTTGATTTTTTATTATATTCTGCCTTAGGATAAGAAAAATGGATTTACTTGCATATGTGTTCATTAATAGGGGAGAAAAAGCTTTTATTTAAAGGTAAAATTCAGCTCATGTTTGAGAAGGCTATAAATGTATATCAAAAAAACTATATATATATATATATATATACACACACAACCTATCAGAACACTCACTTTCTGCTTTGGGTTTTATTCAAAACATAGCTTTCCACTGATTATTGTTTCCCCTTTGGTCAGCCCCCTCATTACTGCCTGCAAATCTTCACCCATTCATTACAAAGTTACCAAGTTATTCTTTTCTCCTTATCCTGGAACATTATTATTCCCCTTATTCTGGTTACTGGAAGGTACACACGCCATGGCAGGTGGCAGGCCAAACTCCTAATCAAATGTACGGATTACACAACAAATACGGGCAAGGTAAGTAAGGAAAGTTCAGTGCCTGTGTCTTCTGCTTGCTGTATGTGTCAGCTTTCTGCTTCCCACGCAGGCAGGTCACGGTGCTGGTACACCCTCTGTCACTCTCCTAATTAAACATGGCTTTCTGGGAGGAGATCCCTTCACTTGGCACCTCTGGAAAGTGTTTTTGTCCCCTGCCCCCGTTATGCAGTCATTGGCTGCCTGCTTACCCACCCTTTCACCAGGGAACCTACGCACGCCTTCCCTCCCAAACACGCCCTTTGCTTCAGAGCTCCTCTGGACCCCCTTTAGTTCATCCTGCCCGTGCCACCCAAATCCCCACTGAGCTCTACCTGTATCTCGACCAGTCATGACAGCATAACAGTCTGCAATTACCCACCCTTAACCGTGAGTCACCAACAGCAACCTTCCTTTTCTTTCTTCCTCCCCCACTCTTACAATCTACCCAGAAACGTCTGCTTCTTTAAGCACATCTCTAATTGCTGGAATTTTAGGAAGAGTTGGCAAGATACTTGGGGTGGGGATGAGTGAGGAGTGTCACTTGGACTTCTCCCCTAAATTTTATCACCAGTCTTCTCTTCATACGAACAGGGTTTGTTCTGGGAACACGTATGAAGGACTAGTTCCCTTCCTTCCACAGGGAAACTTCTGTGAAGACATTTTGAAGGCCCCCGAACAAATGATTCCCAGCAAAGTGGCACATTCCTGAAAACTTGAGGATAATGGGAGGTGGTTTTCTCCTCAGACCCGTGCCCTGCTGGAGAGAAGAGCCATAGTGAGGAAGGTTTAGCTGAAACTACTCTGACTCGGCTTCACAGTTCTGCTCTTCTTAGCCCACTAAAGGAGAATGTGAAAAAAAAACAGACAAGTGGGGACCGCCTCATATCAAGCAGGCCTCAACCCTTACCTCATTATGGTTCCCCCATCCTGACAGTGAAGGATGGTGGAGAAGGGGGGGAGGGCTTGAGAGAGACAGGCGTGCCATGTGCAGATACAAGAGTCTGCAGAGAAGTTTCTATCCTCCGTTTACTATTTACCCTCTCACTCCTTCCCCACAAAAGTTTAGTTGCTTGTGACACGTTAAAAAAAAAAAAAAAAAAAAAGCAACATCCAGATTTCAGAAAGTGGAGGCACTTAGAACTATGCCATGTTATTCTCCTATTAGACAAACAATTTCACAGAATACCGACCTCACACAAGTTTAATCTCAGGCTGTAATAAAATGAGACAGAGCAAGGCCACTTTTTCATTTTGGCCAAGCACACATAAAAACAAGGTCACTGTGCAACCCATAAAATATCAAACATCCTTCTCTCCTGTTGCCGGAATGACTGCTATTCTTTACCCAAGTATGGATATGTGCTTGCTTTCTGACAACATCCAATATGGAGAAAATCTGAGTTTTCTTAGACCTTCTGCCAGGTCACTCAGCTAAATCCTGAGTTCTGTCATAGGCTCTTGCTGACAACCCTCTTACTGAGCAACCTCACAGTTTCTCATGCTGGGCATTTTCCCTTGCTGGAACCCGTAATAAACCCAACCCAGTTAACTGTAGGTGCGTTCCCAGTAGTCTTCGGGGCATTGACACCTGTGTAAAGACACTACTGAGCATTCGGGAAATTTTTATTGAGCACCTTCTATAAACCAGGTTCCCACCCTAAGTCCTAGGAATACTGATCAAAGCAAACAAAAACCCCTGCCCTACAAGGCTTGAATCTTTGCAGGGGAGACAGACAATAAACAAGATGAGTAAATAAAGTAGATAGTAGCTTGGAAGGTGGTAACGGCAGAGAAAAAAATAAAGCAGGATTCATTTTAGATGGGAAGGCTTCACTGATCTGAAAGAGAAAAGGAGTAAGCCTGAAAGTTTGGGAAAGCATGGGAGGAACACAAATGCAAAGGCCCTGAAGCAGGAGGATCTCCGCCCTGTTTGAAACACTTCAAACAACCCGGTGACTGGATAAAAGAGAGAGGTAAGAGACAGGGTCTTGTAGGGCCTTGTTGGGACTCTGGCTTTCACTCTACGTGTGATGGGAAAGAATTAGAAAGTTTTGAGAGAAGAATGGCCTGGTCTGAACTGGGCTTAACTGGATTCCTCTGGCTGCTGTGTTGAGGCCAGCCTGAAAGGGAAAGGGCACAAGAGAGGAGCAGCAGAAGCCGATAAGGAGACTCTTGGAATAATCCGGAACACAGATGAATGTCGTGGAATCCAGATATTCAAAGTTCACAATGTTTTTAACGATCGCCACAATGAAAACTAATAATATTATAAATCTATAAATTAATCCTGCTAGTTTGCGTTTAATTGTGATTGCAACTCCAAATTCTAAATAGAGGGGAATACTCTGGGAGTGCTTTGAAAAACATACACACCCATCCAGTAATGTATTTGTGAAAGGAATTAATTTTCCAAATCTACAACTCTTCTTTTTTTCATGATATTGAGTTTTTTTTTTATCAAAACCTTTAAGGTGCCAAGTGTCTGCCTGTAAATCCATAAGGTTTAAAAAGGTATCCTCAAAGTCCTAATCCCTAAATGGGGATCCCAATGAACCCCATTTTTTTGGAAATTTAAAAATGCAATGTTTTATTTCCAAACCTTTCAGGAAAGGGTTGGCCAAAGTGATATTTTGCTAATAATAGAACTATAAGCATAAATATTTATCAGAATGGAAGCTACAGCACGGCCACTGAGTTCAAAGCTGTACCCTCAGCTCTGCAGAACTAATTGTTAATCTGCTTTTAATAAAAGCTTATTAAAGCAAACGCCAATAATAGGCTTCTGTTTTTCCCTCTGAAGGATGTTCCTGCCTTAGTCTGATTGTCAACTGGTGTCTTATCCTGATGGTTCTTAAATTCTTCTCATGAAATATCAACATTGTGAAAATTGGCTGTTCCAGCAGGAGAAAAAATACCCTTTGATGGGTAGAAGTTTCTCAATTAAGTTTTTCCCCTACATTTTTCTTAAAAACTCAGTGCCATTGATTTAAATAGAATCCACTCGGGGCGCCTGGGTGGCTTAGTCGGTTAAGGGGCCGACTTAGGCTCAGGTCATGATCTCGCGGTCTGTGAGCTCGAGCCCCGCGTCGGGCCCTGTGCTGACAGCTGAGAGCCTGGAGCCTGTTTCAGATTCTGTGTCTCCCTCTCTCTGACCCTCCCCCGTTCATGCTCTGCCTCTCTCGGTCTCAAAAATAAATAAACATTTAAAAAAAAATTAAAAAAAATAAATAGAATCCACTCTATGATGATATCCTTTAAGTCCCACAATCCATCATTAGGTACTGAGTTTTATTATAACTCTATTTTGTGTTCCATCAAAGAGCACTGATGTCCCTCCGTCTGAACAAAATTTAAAACTACTGGACTATCTTGATTGTATAAAACCACTTCCTTCTCTTCCCTCATTTCCTAAAAGATAAACTTAAGTTTTGTGAGTATATAAAAATGACTATTTCAGTGTCACTCTTGCTCATGGAAAATTCGCTCTTCAGTGGGAAAGGCCACATTTTTTTATGAAGCAAGAACGATTTGCATTTTATGAAATGTTATCTGAAAGAGAGTATAATTGTCCTTATGCAAGAGTGTATATACTTAGTCTTTGTCAAAAAAGTATTACTTTCCTTTAGGACTTGAAATTTCTTGCAGCCAAGATCAACAGCTTTCTTGGAAAAGCACACAAAGTCTCAGGACCACGTTTTGCATAAAATGTTCCCTCTGTCAACCTGTTTTTAACTAAGCTCCTTAAAATAACATTAGGTTAATTTGAATCCTCAGCTTTCTAATTAATGTTTGTGAACAGTAAATCAATCTAGTGGTCTGTGAAATGTTACATAAGTCCTTTCAATGTCCATAGTCAAGATGATAACTTACAACACCCCCTTCCTCCAAGATATGACCCAAGTCATTGACTGGAAGAACTGGGATATTAGGCAGGGTAAACAAACAGAAACTAGGGAAGGAGAGCTGAGGCAGAACCCCGGGCCTGGGGACAGGAACCATACTTACACAGGAGAGTTTGACCTGGATTCTTCACATACTAGGTCTGAATGTCAGGGCACAAGATTGGAGTGGAAGCTGCAGGCATGTGAGACACCAAAGGTTATAGTCAGATCACAATATTTTAATTTAATTTAATGGCTTAATTTCATATCCTGCCTGAGTTGTGACAGGAATGTCTTGGAAACTACGGTTGGACTGGCTTTTTTACAAATGGCACCCATCTCTCTGCATAGCATACATATTTTAACAAGGTAAAAATCTGAGCAAGGTAAAATGTGCAGGCACAGACTCCAAATTGTTTGTAATGAGGAAAGAGTAAATGACCATGGGGCATTCCCAAAGGAAACGGAAAACTGGAAATTTCTATCTGAATTACAAATGCACAAAACTTTTTACCTAGAAATTCTGCTTCCATGTTATTCATTGCAGCATTGCCCATAATCATCAAGTTTGGAATCGAATGTCCATTATTCAGAAGTTGTGAAACTGTGGACTTCTACCCAATGGAATATTATGCAACTATACAAAGAATGAGGTTGTTTCTACATATTGACATGGATATTCACCAGATACCATAATTATTCTTTAAGGTATATATTTGTTTTATATACATATTCATACATATATTTAATATTTTTAAGAAATAAGATGTGTATAGAATACTGCCGTTATTTTTCTGAGAAAGGGATATACTTATATTTGTATTTATATTTATTTGTTCATGTATATGTATATAGTTTGAGTACTAAGAAATATATCTGGAGGGACACTCAAGGACTAATTATGTTGCTTGTCTCCAGAAAGGAGAGCTGGTGGCTGAGGGAAAAAAAGTGGATGGAATTTCTTTGAGTGGCAACTTCTGAGATTTTTGTCCTATGTTGATGAAGAGTTATTCAAAACCATTATTTGAATCAAAAAATAATAGAGTTCTCTTGAAACAAACAAAAAAAAAAGATATAAACTGATTCTGATTATAGGGAATCAGGCATGGCTTCCTGAAAAGTTAACATCTGAGTTGGATTTATTACATAGGTCATTTTTTTATCAAGTTATTTGAGAAAAGGTATGCTTTTCTGAAATTTGGCAAGAAAAGCCCTTTTTAGGAAAAAAGAAAGTCCCCTCCCCCCTTTATTTGTAGTTGAAGTAAACACCATCAGCCAACACTTTAAGTTACCACTGTATACTGACATGTTGGTATTAAGAGCTAATTATAGCTTGGTTAATTATCTATGGCAAAGAAGAATGGTGGTTAATCGTTTAGTAGATGTTCAGTAGAACACAGAAGATAGGCTTGAAGAAATTGATTACTAGTATTACGCACCACAAAATGCTGTGCACAATATGAGTACATTATTTCTTACAAGTGGAAAAAGATGCTATAGAGAAATAGGACTTCTCTGATTGTAAACAGTGCAAAACTCCAGTCGCAACCATAAAAGTACTTGGAGGGACTGAATATGAAAACGATAATTTGGTTCTTCTTTCCCTGACTATGTTGTAGTTTTGGAAAATTATCCAACCTAATTATAAATAACTCAGGAGGGCAGATTTTACCTATTCAACTTCAGATCACTTTTCCTTGGATTTCTTAAGCACTTTAATTCCATTGTATTTTATCCAGTTATACCTTTCTGACAAAGCTTAAATTCTGACAGTTTTTTTCTAATTCTTCAAATGTTCCTGGCATTATTTTTATTCCTTTTTATTCTTCTTCACACTTCTCTCTAATAAATACTTTCTTAAATCTTACTGCTTTTACAAAATTTTTTCCAACTATCCTTTTGGGCTATTTTACAACACAAAATAAGGACATTTCAGAGGTCGTATAACAGAAGCCAGTATGAAGCAGAGCTCAAAATCTTAGACTCCAGGGCTAGTTACCATTATCAACACACTAGAACAAGTTTCACTGTCTGTCATATTCAGTTTTTACTATTGTTGTTTCAATTAGTCTTTCCAATGTGTCACAATACTGTCTTTTGGGGGGGATGATGATGATGAATAATGATTGTATATTATAAATCCGAACACAGTATAGATGTCTGTTTTCTGCTTATGAGCTACATAAAGTGTTGGCTGTTGAAAATTAAAATTATGAACTTAAATTCTAATCTTTAAAATTTATGAATATGGGATGGAATCTTGCCCACCACCCCTCCCCACATGTCTCTCTGCAACTCTGTAACCCTCTTGCTGACATTATCACACAGGACAGATTTTCTGCCCAAGATCTCTCTGAATTGAATTGCTCTCTGGACTTCTCACCACTGTGGTCTGATCTCCTGGTACTCAACTGAATCACACCTGAGTTTGTAGTGCCCACTGGCATGGCAACTAATGTTTCCTACCTGAAACATCTCCATCAACCTTTGGTAAACCTGAACACAAACTGTCAAACTCATCAAAATTAAGCTATCTAAAAAGATCGTGGCACATGAGGGAAGCAAGAGCTTGTGAAATCATGTTTGCGTGTATTTTTCTTTACTCTTTAGGTTTGGATCTTGTATGATCAGCTATGTAGCTATCTCCTATCTTCTTCTAAGGCACTAGGCTTTCACTACAGATACACCTGCTGGATGATGATGAAACTCTTGATGTTGCAATGGACTGTGCCAGTTAGGCTAATCTCCATCAGGTTTAAGTAGCAGATAGTATGTAGTAATTATTGTGCAACCAAATGGATTATGCTTTGTTTCCTAAAAAAATAATAACAAACTGTTGAAACACCAAATACAGTATCTAACTAATCAATAATTTGCATGCATTTTAAACAGATCATTAGAGAATGTGTCCTCTACTTTGCTTATCCATTCACATGATATGAGAACTGTGTTACATTTGGATATTGGTAAAGAAAGTTGAGTTTCTGCATTAATGGTAGTTAACGATAAATATGGCATCGATACTTTTTCATACAAAGATTTTAATTTTTTAAAAATAAGTTTATTTAATGAAGGCCATCAATTGCTATCTAATTTTGCAAACCATATAACTTGAAAATGTTTGGAAATAGATTTTAATGTCCAAATGTAACCTTGAAAGGGTCTCCTGTTACAATGAGGAAATTCAGAAATGTTCCAATTGCAGGTTCTAGGTTGGACCAAGGATCAAGTGAGGTTGTTCTGGAATGCCTATGACAGAGGTAGAGCAATCCCAACCAATTCTCGAGCCACCCAGTGTAATAGGTCTAAGAAATAGAGCTCCTTGAAGAGTGAGATGTGTTGTTTTCAAATATTCTTGATAAGAGGGAACATGGAACTCATTTATTTGGACCAATTATGGGCACTGGGCCTGTGCTCACTTAAAAGACTTCATTCTGTGAAAAAAAAGACAACTGGAAACTGTTCCTGTCAGAAATTCGCAGCATCTACACTTCTATTATATGTTGAAAAATTCAAGGAATGTGCTACCCTAAGGAGACTAACAGTTCAACAAACAAGTAATTATAGATGATGATGTAAGTATAACTTTACTGAACTTGATGAAGCTTTTTCCGAGAAAGAACCAGGTTCAAAGTTTATTGCTAAGAAAATATGGTAGGTATCATAGCTCTCAAAAAATCGTAAAGAATATGAACTCTGAATCTCTGCACATGAATTTTTTATAACTTGTTATTTTCTAAAGTTTTTTTTTAACTTTTTCCATTTAGCATCTTTTCAACTCTTTTCTCATGACTCCACTTAAATGTTAAAAATCTGTGAACACTTCAACATGATATCTTCCCTCCATCATCAAACTGGATTCTGATTTACAAACTAGGCTGAAATAAATCAACATCAGTATCTAGGTTCAGGAACTGGCAAAGAGGTTAGAGATACCAAATTTTATTACACTATGTTATTCAGCTCATAATTCTTCAAATCTTTTATCTTACCTTTGATATATGTAGCCAGTGAAGTAGACAATTTTTTTCTTCATCATTAGGAAATTTCTTGACTTTAAAGCTTTCTCTGTCTACATTAAATGGTTTATGATTTATCTTTCTTATATTGTTTTGGTACTTGTTCTTTCTTTTCTGGAAAATCTCAATCTATCTATCTATGTGTGTATCCTTTGCCCAATTACTAAGAGATTTCCTTATTGGAAATATCTTTTGATTATCATCTCTAAGTTTTCATTCTCTTTATCAGTATTTGGAAAGAAAAAACCTATTTATATGAAAAAATCCATTTTCTGAACCCTTTTAAATGTCATATATTTCCTTAAAACTGAATTCTTTTTCCAAATAAGTTCTCTAATACTGCCCATCAGTGTAGATACGGTAACAATGGAACAGATCTTTAAAAAGATCCTTCACTAAAAACTATGCAAAAATTAAATCTTTAAAAATAAAATAAAATAAAATCTTTATCCAATAAAGAAATGCTCTTATAGTCTAAATAAAACCATTTAGGTGTATAAAGTTAGCTTGAGGAATCCTTCACAGCTATCAGTTATAAAAAATATTAAAATTGTAGCTCAGTCATAAAGCCATACATTCCTGTGCCTTATTTACAGTTAGTTTTCTAATCTACTCTGAGGAACACATTCTGATGTTATTGTGAGTTAAGTATTAGGTTCTGATGACCCAACATTGCAAAAAGGTGCTTTTCAAAGAAATTATGCATGTAGAGGAGAAATGAAGCAAGCCTTGAATAGTCATTAACATGACAATCATTTTCAAAAACAAATGTATAATAAAAAACTATCTGAAATTTAACTTATAACTGTCAGTGACAAATGTATTTTGTACAGTGTTAGGTTCATAAAAGCAAGCTCACATTTTGAAAGGTACAATATTTGAAAAGTAAATAAAGTTAGGCCAGAAAAGAAATTGGGGTTTTCCAAGAAATAAAACAAAATTAGTTTTCTTCTAAGTCCCCTAAGAAAGCATATTTTTAAAAACAGTCCTTAAATTTTTTCCAACAGAACAAAAAGTATATTTTACCTTTGCTTTTGTTTGCTGCTGGCCCTTTAGTCACCTGATGCCAAGCAGAGGTTGAGTGGCAAAGGATGCCTGTGGTGGCTCAGAGAAACATGTCATTACAGGGGTGACTCAGTCCTCCAAGTTAAACTGGAAGGTTGCATTAAATCTCT